TGTGTATTAATTAGATTTTGTTGTTGAATTGGTTGTTGATGTTGTGCATCTATTGGTTGTGGAGAAAAATTTCTATGATTTGTACGTGTTCTCTGTATTCCTTGTCTACGATATTCTTGAGTATTTGGTGCAAATATATCTGGTTGTAAGAAATCATCATCTGAGGATAAATAATCCATTTGATAAGATGTCTGTTTTTTATTTTTATTTTGTTGAAAAAATGGGTAATTTTCACTGTGATCCTGTGGAGGATTTGTTTGGAAATTTATTGAATTAGGTTGGGTCATTGGGTTATCCCAATTTCGGGATCTTGTATATTGGTTAAAATTTCTTTGTGGTTGATTATATGTTTTTGATGGATGTGTATAATTATAATTATGGTCTGCAAAGTTGTTTCTAGTGAATGTTTTGCGTGTTTTTGATGGTATTGTCATGGGTCTGTATGTTTGGTAATCCATATGTGAGTATTTAGGGGCAACCGAAGGTTTAACGGTTGATTGTAAGGTTACCTGTGTTTGTGAAGGATTTGTATTTCTTGGTGTTGTTAAATTTGGGCGTATTGGTGAAATACTTTGTTGTGTAGTTGTTGTGTGTACAATTTCTTCATTTATGAAGTGTGATGGTGTCTGGATATCTTGTTGAGTAAGATTCCTAGTTCCATTGAGGTTTTCATTGTGTATAACTGTAGAGTTTAAACTATTATTTTGTGTATCGGGTAAAAATGTATTATAGTTTAATGGTGTCGCATCAATGGTTAATGGTATTACTTTTACATAATCTCTTATGTAAGATATCGTGCTTATTGCTTGACTTGAGATTGATTGTGGGAAGCTTATAAATGCGGGATGAGACCATTCGGGGTCCCAAACATAATCTGATTGTTCTGTGATAGCGGTATCATCGTTCGAGTTTTGGGGTCTAAAATTTTTTCTTGCTTGTGCAATTAAATCAATATTGTGTGTGAAATAATCTATTATGAACCATGCCAAAATTTTTTGTAGATCGTGTTTTGTATGTTGTGAAACGTCGTCTTTCGTGAAATTTTCTTTAATGATGTTTAAATAACTAGAGAGTAGTGTGATTTCATGTCGTACTCTTAAATGTTTAGATGTTTCTGTCGGTGAGACATTTGTTATTGGGATTTCGTTTTCTAATATCGAAATATAACTATATATTATTGCGAAAACTTCATTGGTGAATATGGAGTTTGCTCTTTGTGAGTTATGATATTGGATGCTTTTTATATATTCTGAAAAAACTTTTGAAAATTCTAAATCAAGATCGTCTGTTTGAATTGTATATTTTCTATTATTATGGTTTGGTGAGGTGAATTCTATGGAGTAGATTCCATACTGTTGTGTTATGTTGCATATATCTTTTAAGTAGTGATCTATGATTTGTCTTTTGATTTTTACATCGGGGAACTCTGTTTTACATGGACTGATTCCGGGTTCAAATAAATTTACGAGTAAATTTTGACAAAATATGTGTTGTCCTCTATCAGTATCTGCATCTACTATAAAAGGAAAGATTTCATCATCATCTGGACTTTCTTCACCTGGAGTGTGCGTTGAGCTCATTTTTTCGTTCGGTGACTGTTAATATGTAATTATCAATGTGTCTAATTGGTTGATTCCAATTGTATAAATGTACTGGTTTGTGTTTGTACTGCTTTTTTATTCTTCTTTTTCCTCTTTTTGATGAATTTGAAGTTGTTTCTGAGTCAGAAAAATATAATTGATCGTGAAGTGGGTAATTTTTATCTATTGATTCTTTTAGTTTGTAAAGTTCGTCTAAACTGTTGGTTTCTGATTCTGAAAATGCGTTTCGATTTTTTGAAAATCTTTTTCGTGTTATTTGTCTTTGTTTCGTTATTATTTTTCTTTTTAATGTTTGTCGTTTTGTTCGAATGTATCCAACTGTTTGTGTATGAGGTGTGATTACAAGGTCGTATTTTTTGTTATCTATTTCACAATTGTGTAAAACGATTGTTTGTTTATTTCCTAGGTTTTTAAATGACATAAGGTTTAGAATGACGGATGCAAAAGGTTGTTAAATGATTTCTATTTTCCTAAACTGTTAGTTCTTACGATTTTTTGGTTAGCTTAACCTGGGTCTATTTGTTCAGGGTTGGAGAGAAAAGTATATCGATTCCGAAGAATGATTTTTTACTTTCTCGTGGCTAGTATAAGTTAAGGTGTTAACTTACTTAATCTTACTTAGGGGTAGTGATTGTGTTCAAGGGTTGGAGAATAGTAAATCGATCCACAAGGTTCAGGTATAATTAGAACGCGAGTAGTTCGTTAGATACTATTTTAAACTTACTAAGTCTAAGATTTATCCTGGGTCTGGTAAGAGGGGGGGTCAAGTGAAGGATGAATAACCGAAGTTCTTCACTGTTTATCCTAATTTGAATGATTAGTTTTGTTTAAAAATTTCTATTAGTCTTAGGTCTTTAGAAAGGTTTGGGTAGTGAATCGACGTTTGAGGTCGTTAGACACTAATTAAGTGGGTGGGGGAGAACAAAGTTGTTCTGTTTGATCCAAGGATAAGCCTTGATGATCAAATTTAAAATTTAATTAAGGAGAAAATGATTTAAGATCCAAGGATAAGCCTTGATGATCTGGTTTTAAAATTAAGTGAATTTAAGTTTTAATAAATTTTTAAATGTGTGTAAAGGAAAGATTTAGTGTTTTGATGATATTAGTGGGTTTATGATTGCTGTTATGTTTTAGATGATGGAGCTGGAACAACAGGATGATTTATGATTACTAACCATTTATTGTCATGCTACTAATTTTTATTTTTATTTTTCAATAAATATTTTTCAAACATGTTTTGTATATTACTGCAGAGTTTTAGGAAAACGATCTTAGATCTTTTTATCAATCGTTATTGTATATTAATAATTTTGTTTAGCGCCTGAAATGATTTTGAAGATTAACTTCAAGGTTTTATGTTTGCAAATGAAAATCTAAATTCATTGCCAGTAGTATTCTAAATATAAAAGTTTGTTCTGGTTTTTGCCTAACTATCATATAGCTATATGGCAAGTTTCTACTTTGTCGTATGTCGTCTCTGGTTCGAGGTCTTCTTCCAATTCCGGGTAGTTCTGTTATGGTTCGGAATATTGGCTCTGATCTATTGAGTCGTAGAGACATTTCGATTAAATTATTGTCGTATAACATTTTTTAAATGTTTTTGTCTAATTTCTAATCTATTTTTGGTTAATTCTAAGCTATTAAGGTCTTGTTCGAGACTTATGGTCGCACCAGATGAGTTAGGACCGAGTTGGTTAACTCATAGAGTAATTTCGGATAGGGTACACCGTCTGCTCGTCACGCTATCTTATTTTCGGCCGGATAGATTCGTGCAACTTCTTAGTCTAATACCGATCCTAATCTTACTCTTATACTATCTAGTCTCAGGTTGTTTAACTAGTCTCTGCTAGGCTCAATAGATCTAGGGTATACTGGTTTATTGCGGCTGCTGAAGTGCTCGGGAGAGTCCAACTAATTTCTAAGTTAAATTCAAATCTCTCTGGTGCTGAAATTACAAGTAACTTCAGCACTTACAAATAAGTGGGTTGTTAGTTAGATGGATCGTGATTGGTTAATATTAAATACTTTACATTGGTAAAACATTTAATTTATCCAATCATAAAATATAGTTTAGATCAGGTTCCAAAATGAATAGCATCTATATTTCAAAACATTATATCAAGTTAAAAGGGACAAGAGTTTGCAAGTAGAGTTCCACAAAATTTCTCGAATTCAAAACTAGTTAAGTAGTCAAATTGATTTGATCAATCGTGTGCTAAGAAGTACATAATTTATATCAGTAATTCCCTTTATAATAGTCAATTGCGTTAAAAAATTTCTTGTGCTCAGAATTTTTGAGTGCCTAGCCTTAAATTCAAACATTTCAACGATTATTTATTTCAAGTTGTATTTAAATTTTTTTTATTGCATATCCTAATCAGTGACCAGGGAAGAATCATCAAGAAAGGTGATTTCACGTAGTGCTACACGCATATGTAGGTAAAGCAGTTACAAGGTAATTAATTTTTAAATGTCAATGCTAAACAACATGCTTCCATAAAGTGCTACATTTAAATATGCCTGTTATTCGAGTATGACTCAATGTAAACAATCGATTGAGCCCCTTTAAAAGGATCAGTTTTAAAAGTGATTGCGCGAAATAAGCTCGCAAAAGAAAGTAAATCAAGCCATATCAACTATATCAAGAAAGTATATCAGTATATCAAGCCATCCATTCCTCAAACAATCCGTTTTTTTCCTTCATTCATTCGTCTAGCCAGCCATCTATCTATCAAGACATTCATCTCTCTAGCCATCCATCATGCATGCCATCAAGCCGTCCTTCAAGCCATCCATCGTCCAGCAATCCAACCGGCTTTCTATCAAGTGATCAGTGCCTCCAGCAATCTATCCCTCCAGCCAGCCAGCCATCCATCGTCCCTTCATCAGTTCTGTTAACAGTGAATGCATCCATCCATTTGATCAATCAGCATTCCATCATGCCATTCATCCAACCATCATTCTTACATCAGCCAATTATCAAGCCATCTGTCAATTCATCAAGCCCTATATCTATTTTGCCGTAAATCATCCAGCCAGCCATCGCCCAACCAGCCTGCTTTCCATCCATACATCTATCCCCAGACATCGTCTTTCCAGCCAGCCGAGCATTTATTTATCCTTCCATCCAGCGTCCATCCGTTCAGCTATTTAACCAGCCAGCCGTCTCAGATATACCAGAATTTTTTGTTTAAGATAAATGCTGTCATTTTTCAGGCGGAGATTTAGCTGCAAAGGGTCGCTATAATACGTAAAACAAGTGTGAAACTAGAAAGTTTGCAATAATGGTGGATCAGAGCCCTAAATTGTTTTTTTTTTTGCTTTGCGAGAAGGGGGCGGTATAATAGCAAAGAGCCGTAATTAATTGTTTCCAAAAAGCAACATAAAATTGTTTTACAGGTGTCCCAATTGCATTTTGCAAATTCAACACCCGACACGTGATTCGGTTGGACAGGCAGTCCATGGAAGATCACTACGAGGAGTGTCAAAGTAAGGGCATATTGGAGGCAGACCTGAGGCCACATGTGCCCAAAATCCACGGAAATCTCAATTTCCCACCCCCTGTGAACGCCCCGGAAGTGACGACTGAGGACGCGAAAGCGTTTGCCAGAATGGTAGGCAAGAGTTTTAACGGGCTCGTTAAAGTTTCATTGCAGGAAAAATAGGCGTGAAAACCAAAGTTGCTTATATATAAATTGGATTCCTGTAGAGTTTAGAATTTTTCGAAATGAAACTTCGGCGCCAATATGTAATAATTTTAGTGGGAAGCGCGTGCCAAAAAAAAACTATTTTTTGGTCAAAATTTTCAAAAAAAGTCTTTTTCAAAATTTTACCTGCGGGGTAGAAAGTTTGGCTAAATCAAGGTTTTTTAGTGCTTAGGGAGAGTTCTGACATCATTTTGGTCGACCTAAAAAACTTCCGAACATCCGCACCCCTCGAGAAAATCCGAGATCCGCCCCTCTGTGAGTGTGTGTGTGTGCGTGCGTGCGTGCGTGCTTGTGTGTGTGTGTGTGTGTGTGTTGGGGGGGGGGGGGTAGGGGTAGGAGAAAAGAGCCGAAGTTGGAAGTTCTAAATTCAGACTTTCGAAGTTGTTTATTCAGACCGGCAAACCCGGGAAGCCGTACATGATTCGTTGCCTCAATGGACCGACCCCATTACGCACTTCTGACTCAATGAATAGAGGTGCTCTACTGGAAACTACATTAGCACCGCAAAAGGCAACAAATGTTAATTTGGGATTGCGGACTTCAACTAACAGTGACTACCCGAGAGCGGTGGGAAGGGGTCGGGGAAGAGGCAGAGGCAGGGGGAGCAACTTCACTTCATATGAAATGAATGGTGTCAACATAGCTACTCAAAGCTATCCTTCGGTCGGAAGAAGCCAGGCTCCTGCTCCTTCCGGATTTGCCTTGGGAATGGGAGGGACCAGAGTCGGCAGGAGCTCGTCTGGCTCGTCTTCATCTGAGAACAAATGCAGGGTTTCTGAAGACGAGGATGGTTCGGACAGTGATGATGATATTTACAGTGAATTGGCCTTTAAGCTCATTATTGGAAGAGGTAAAACTATCGGAAAATGAAATGGTAATTGCAAATGATGGAAAAAGAGAACCGATGAACAGGCACAATTGTATCTATTCCAAATTCGCAGCCGTTCAAAGTGGTTTAGAAACTGCCTCAGAAGTAATTATTGCAGCAATCAAATAATTTTTCAACAATCGGAATCAAGCAGCCCCAAACGTGTTTATTCCACTGTTCATTTCGACGAAAAATGGCTGCTAGACAACCACGAACCATTCGTTTCGAATTCATCTTAGTTCAATTATTTGTTCAAATTGATCTTAAGCCTTCAATATTTTACTTAATGTTTTTATTTGTTCGTGCAACTGTGTGCTTTTTTCTTGGCTAAAAGTAATTCTAAGCTCAAATAAGCAGTGATTTTTGTATGATATTATTAGAAGAAGATGAAAATAAGGCGAGCACTGAGCAAATTTTAGATAAAAGATTGGAAAAAAAATTTTTAGTTACATTTGGCCTGCATTTCAGTAACCTGTTATTTGAATTGGTTATTGATACGCTGCCGAGGGAATAGGTGCAAGCGATGTTTTTACATGGTCTGTCTTGAGGTAATGGTCGCAGATTATGTCATATCTGGTAAATTCATCATGATATCCAATTGAATCTTATTTGAAAATGGACTGGGGTTTTCTAACAGTTCAGTTTGAAATTTACCTATTTCGCCAGGGAAATTCTGTTTTGCCTGGGAAATATATGCCAAACATGCCCTCTTTAAAAACAAATCTTTTCGCAATTTTGTTTCGTCAGGGTAATAAATCTTTAAAAACAAATCTTTTCGCATGATGATAATCTCCGTGGTCGAAAATTTTTCAAGGTGGTTTTTGACCAAATCTTTCTCGCAAAAAAATTTCATAATAGGAGATTTTTGACGGTTCTTTTCTGGTCAAAATTAAAATCAAAGGCGACGTAGGCTAATCTACGTCACCAAGGGGGCAAGCGAAAAAACCATCGAATCGTATCTGGTTGCGAAGGAGAACGTGTATTACGATACACGCCGCTCTCAAAGTCTTCGCGGTCCCTGTTCAACCAAAAAAAGGAAATAATCAGAAAAAGCTTTGCTACCCATGAAAAGGCATAAAAAATCGAAAATGGTAGCGTTAAAAATCGTAATAATCCTCTGGTGACAAAGCATTTTCGAATGCATCCATAATTAGCTTTTTTATCTGGTAGTTTATGCCTGTAATCTGGGTGATACTGGTTTGGCATATGGTATTAGCCAACTAAACTAAGACAGTTAAATAAATAACGCTAAATAAATACCGCGATAAATAATGCCATCTCGAATAAATACCAAAGAAAATGCGCGTGAGTCCAAAACTTGCCACTTTGGCTACTTTCAAGCTGGTTGCAAACAATCCAGCTCTCTGACACATATGGAAACGGCCCCGGAATCAACCCCACAAGTGAAGTTCCTACAGTCCACTGAACAGGTTGAATACTAGTTTAATAAGATCAATTGATTCATTTAGTTTGATAGTTTTGATGATAGCAGAAGACAATGTCTGGCAACAGACTTTTTGAGCATGTTTGCGTTTTAAATGGCAGTTCCATTGACAGATTTAGTTTTTCTTCTAAAGGTTTTGTCTCGGCTTAAATGGTTTCGACTGATGTTATTTCTGTTTAATTTTCTCAAAAGTTGTCGTTTGAAGGACTAATTTTTGATTTTTTTGTGCTTCCACAGAGGCCGTCAAGCTAGAGAATTTTCGTAAGGCTCAAAATGTTTTAAAGCGCATTGTCTCGGCTCAACAGTCTTCTACCCAAGTATAGTCTGCTCAGTATCCACTTGATAAGTTTTGTTTTTGTTGCATATTGAAAACTGGCCGCTCTGTTTCTCAGTAACTTTCCTCAAACCCAACCGCATTCCAAACAAACAAAAAAGTCAGATTTAAAAATGTTTCGTTTCAATTTTCTTTACTCAGGCGTTTGTCTTTTTTGAACTAGCTGCTGTGCTATTTATTGTCGTATCGCAAGTTGTTCAAAGCTGTGCTTCGCATCTGTATAATTTTTCCTGGGTTGAATTTTGAGTAAATTGAATTTAACTGTAGCATGAAAATATGAAACAACACTTGGCTGAAAAGCATATTCGGGTTTTAGTCAATTCTTATTTAGACTGGAAAAATTGGACACAACTTGATTGTTTATATATACGAGGATTGAAAGTTCGGTGCATAGACATTTGTGTCCATGACATTTGTGTCTTTGACAAAATTGTCCTAAACTATAAAATTGTACCAGACATTTTGTCCAGACGAAAATGTCTGAAATTATTTTCTTCCATTTGACCTTGTGATCTTTAATTCTTTGATGTTTTCCGTATGTTTGATCGTTCTCCTATTAGGTTCTTCATGTACCAAAAGCCATAGAAAAATTAAAGCGAGGCCGAGTTTTGATAAACAATTTTTTAAAAAGTTCAAAGCAATTTAGACCGAGCGGTGAAGTCATTAGTTTCAAGATGAAAGGTCGGAAGTTAAAATCTCGGATCGGAAAAAGTTTTTCTTTCTCAATTTGGTTGAAAATTCTTTACGAAAAACCCAAAGTTGGGTGAATAGGGCAAATTCGATGTGAGTTGACTCGGTTGGGTAAGAAGGAAAGGGGGTAAGAAAGAAAAGCTTGATTACATTCATCAAGCTTGGCAACTCCAACTCTCAATGTCAAATCTAGGTTTTTGACGAGAGCCATTTGCCGCCAGTCGGCCTATGTAGTTATCTTTAAAATAGTTGAAGATCGGTTGAGCTGTCGGGGGCACGTTTTTTGCAGTGTTTCAAATGCCTTGGAAACGTCGCTTACTGGCAAGAAAGCGGTACTTAGTAGCATTCTTACATGCTCACGGAACTCCAGATCAATCCTATAGTTATTTTTATTTTTACATGCTCACGGAACTGCAGGTCAGTCAAGTCTATAGTTATTTGTTTTTCCAGTAGACTGATCGTGGCGCCACATGCTTTGGCACATATAGAAATAACAATATTGAATTTTTAAATGTTTGGCTTGGGATGTAAGTGCATTTTTGACCGCTATTTCGAAATCAATGGTTGCTTATTTGGGAAGTTCTATTTCGAAACAGTTTAACAGTCGAATATCAGACTATTCTTTCTTGTCTGGAAGCAATCTGGATGCACAATAGGGACCAGAACTCCTTCAGCTGATGCATGTTTTGTGCTTATCTGAAAAAAAAAACATTCGGTGCCGTTGAAAACGTGCCTCGTTGAACCAATCATCAGCACCACTATGGAAATCCAGTCCTGGAAGAGTGGTGAAAACCATAATTCGCTTAGTATCATCTGGACCAGAGTCAAAATGAAGGAAGCGTTCGCCACTGTGAGTGACTTTCAGCAAGTCTGGTAGTTCAAAACCAATTATTAATTTTTGTTCCTGCATTCTGGGCCGGCTTGACTCTGTGGACGGTTCTCTGGTTGGGTTAACAGTTTGGAATCACTGCTGCTGATGTTTTTCTGTTAGGGTCACATTGAACGGAAATAATTGTTTGCCTAGAAGGCTCATCTGCTACAACTGCTCTAGTTTTAAGAGCTGCTCTGATTTTTCGCTTTTCAAGGTCAGCTGGATCTGGGGAGTGATTGTGATCATTTGTGCATTCACTTTGATCATCCAGCCAATCGCGCAGGCGGCCATCACATTTTGATAAAACACATCGCCACGAAATTGAAGTGTCTGTCAGAAATCGATAGTTGAAATAAGCGTATGCATCAAAAGCTAGCAATTCGTTGTTTTTTTTTGCCTTAAGGATTTCCATGGTTCAACACAAACTCAAGGGCTTTTATAAGGATATTCGAATCAGTCATAGCTAAGCTACGTTTGGCGTGAGCACCAACCAAGCGATAATTGTTCAGGTATGTGTAACTGATTTGAGTCCTCGTTTAATTGAGTCTCTAATGCTAATCAGTGAAAATTCTGGTCTTATTGCCTAGTTGCGCGGCCTCATCAAGTTGATCGTTCTTATTCAAATTTTTTTTAAATACTCCGGTTGTTATCGGGGTTGTCAATTAGCTGGAAAGTTTTGGACAATGTTGTCTGGGAACCAAATATCTTGGACATTTTTTAATTTTCAGAAATTTTTGTCCGGGAAAAAAATGTCTTGGAAACAATTGTCCAGACACGGAACGTTCTTGTGCCTGAATTTTGATTTATTTGTTGGCTCAATACAACTTTGTTTTTTTCTTAAATAGTTTCCAATAGTCTATATGTATAAAAAGAAGCACCTTACCATGTTGACTAGAAGCACCGTTACCTACTGGTAAGCTGGAAAACTTGATCAGGCTTTCAATTTCGTGAAAAAGAATGACAAAGTTTGAGAGCCAACTCATTAGCTTGTGCGTGTCTTTGTTACTGATTTTTAAACTAGAGAGTACGTTTGAAACAAATATAAGTAATTGGTACCAGAACAAAGAGAACATTTAAGAATTCTTTAAAAATTGTGGAATATTGTAGAAGTGCTAAAAAGTCGAAAGAGCGCACATGTAAATTAAAAAAATACCAAGTGAGTATTTTTTTTCAAAATTCAAAAAACTTGATAACTCGAATGGTTCTCTCGATGAAATTCGTTGTTTTGCTGGTACAGATAGACTGCCCAAATTTACTCTGGAGCTAGAGTGCGCTCTGCCGGTGTTAATTTTCGGGTCACGATTGCACTCTGCCGAAACAACCCCGGCAGAGCGCACTCTGTAACTATATAAGGTTCTCTTTCTGTTAATGCCACGAGAAATTATACATCAGAGTCTAACTCCGCGCGGAGAAAACATTTTCATTTTACCGAGAAACTTTATTGTTCTATTGGGTATGTATAACCCGGAGATTTTGAAAAACACATTGGAGTTGCATCGATGTTAAGTATGATGGTCCGTAGCAATTTTTCAAACAAAATTTCAGTGATATCCAATTCAGTTTGAACTAGTCAGTATGTCAGAAACTTGTTGTTTGTGTTTCCAGTTGCCAAATTTGGATAGGTTTGTATTTTTTTTGTTTTTAGTAATTGGAGGTGAGTTATAATCAAATTGAATTTCATTCTAGAATCAAAAGATAAAATAACACTGGCTCAGACGATACTGTTCAGAAGTTAATTCTTTCTGATAAAATAATTTTGGCTGCAAAAAATTCTGCTGTACTTCACTGTTTTTACTATTTTTAAAGGTACCGAATTAGTAATACAAATTCATAGGTTCAAGTTTTGTTTCATGGGCATAGAGTTCTCAAATACGCTTCGATTGAACGTTTGAATAACATTTTTTTTTGTTGCGCTGCAGTTAAATCAGGATTGATACTCAAAGGTTGCCCTATTCGTATCTAATTAAAAATGGTATATACAGGGTGTTCCAAAAGCTTTGAAACTTCTGAAAAGGCTGTAATTTTTGACTGAAATGATGTATGAGTCATTTTTCGCAAGGTGATAGATGAGATGTGGAATTTTCAGAATCCGTCAACAAATAACAATTGGGAGAAACACAAAAATTGTTTTGCGCCATTTTCTTGATTTTCAATCCATACTTCATTGAGTTGTTCACGCCGGTTTTCAAGCTCGTTCATTTTATCAAAGAAATGAAATTCAATGATGAGCAGCGCAAATTCATTATCCTCCAATTTGCAAAAGGATTGTCAGCAATTGCTGTCAAGCGAAAATGTCTTTAAACATATGCCATTTGGGGAAGGCAACGAATCA